CTTGCATTTTGTACATTTTATTTACATTTTGTACCTAATCATTCATTCTATTTTCTGAAGCACCAACATCAAATTGTCACTTTGTTTTTTATTGAAAACATCTCAACAACATTTAGATGGATTGCCATGCAATTGAAAATGAAATATGTCGCCCCTAAGGAGGAATTACAATAACTTTGCTCCCCTAACCTTTCCTCAAACACCATCATGGTCATTAACAAACATTAGCATGTTAGCTCTCAATGTCATCTCTACTGAATTAGTATAAGCCCAGTTCAAGCCAGCTGCATCTTTTTTGCGCATCATTTGTAGAGAAATGCAATCACTTTCACGCCGAAGCATTTCAGACAACCTCCAAACATGTAGGAGCATAGCTAAAAGAAATAAGAAGGTTGATGGATGCCACACAAACAGGACTTCATGCTGCCTGACACAACATTGAAAAATGGCTTCAATTAAAGAGGCCGTCTCGGGTGGTAAAGTATTCCTTGTTTTTCTCAATCGATAAAACGTAAAATCTTCGTAGCCATATTAAAGGAGCATGCCATTTGCACAGTGGAATATGGAAGACTTCCAATTATTATTCTACTTCAGTAATGGAGTGAAGAGTGTGCGTTGTCTTCTTCTCCCCTAAAGTGAAATTGCTGACCTGCTCTGTCAGTGTTCTGACTCTCTAGTCTTTAGCTTTATTATGAGAGGTGTGCGGTGCAAACTGTCAACTAAATGGCCCGTCACAATTATGAGACATGTTCAACAGATAAACACCCTGTCCAGAGTTTATGTGGAGAGTGCAGTTCTCTTAAGGGGAACTACCACAAGATGACAGCTTTTGAACTCTTTTCTTTTTAACCTGTCATTATTCACTTTGACTTACAGCGCATTCATCACTTGTTCGTGCTGCCATGACTGAAGGAAAACATTCAAGATGTACAGATCTTCTGAGATTAAACTAGAACATTGAAATGTTGTGATTCATAAAGAATGTGCAGATACTACAGATATTTCTGATGATAAAGTGCACAAAGGCAGCGTCCCCTTTATTTTCAGTGTAGCAAGTTTGTCTGCAGGTTTGATGGGACTGAAGTTAAGATGTTTGTCCTCCCACTTTGAACTCCCCTCAGAAAGGAAACTCAGCTTCACGGAGCCTAAACGTGACGGCAAAACTTCAAAGAGGATGCAATAAGTCAGAACAGACTAGCAGACAGCCAGTGAAATTTGAATTGGCTCTACTTGGTTCTGATTGAAGTTCCTTTTTGGAAAATGTCACCCATAACGAAATCTTCAATCTACCAGTACACCTTTCATAAAACTACTGCAAATCCTAAAATTACATTATGGATATTTCAAGTTGATAACATGATAACTACTTCCTCTATTTGTCAATGTTTGCTTTTTGATTTAATGTTCTCATAATTTACTTATTTTACATTTCACATGAGTTTCTTTACTATGAAATTCAGTAAAATCATAATAACTGTCTATAGTAAAGATAAACAAGATTCCAGTTGTAATCTCTAACTTATTTCCATAATGTGGTGTTTTGACCTTTTAAACTGACATATTTTGTATTATTAATGAGAATATTATTGTCTTAATAAACCAATGAAGAACCCAATAAAACAGTGTGTTATCATTACTAAAAACCTGAAAACTGAGCAGTTTTTTTTACATTTCCATAAGTTGACATTGTACAAGGTTTTCATGGGACAGCA